CTAGATATTACAGAGATACATTTGAGATGGATAAATATTCTTCAAACCTTTCAAAGACCTAGAGAATATTGCATTTAAAAAGTTTAGGGTTTTGATAGTGAGACATAACTGCTCCTGGCAACACCACCTGCATCACAAAGGAAGATGGACATTGAAGAAACTGGTTATGGAGTTTGCTTCCAATATGGCAAGACTAGCCATTTGGGTAAAATACTGCTGTCTAGACTGCTTAACTATATGCTTTATAAAGTAAACATGCAGGACCCACAGAAAAGTGACTGCTGATACAAGATGGACTTTGCTACAGGATTGTTGCTTCATGGAAGAGTCTGCCAGACAGTCTGCAGGACACAGAGAAAAGTGACTGACAAACTGCCAATGCAGATAGACAGTTTAAAGTTTCCTGCTTTGCTGAGGAGTCTGCCAGATACACTATGGCCTATAGGTTGAAGATGAAACATTACAGAAGAACTTCAGGTGACTGACCAGGTATCAAGATGTCTCTGTCATTTCTAGACTATATATATATTATTCTTCTGTGATCTTTGATGGAATTGAAGACAGATAGTTATGGTTATAGTTTTCCTTAGGATTAAAAATAAGTTAAATATAAGACTTTAGACTCACAAAGATAGGATAGGTGATGGAATATTTCCATCTTGCTAAATGTTAATGGACTAAATATTGTCAACTATAGTTCTTATTTGATAATTGTTTTGTTATATATTTTACTATGTTAAAGTTAAAACCCTTCTTTTTATTTTAGACGGAAAAGAGGAGATGATGGGAGATGTCAGTCAGTAAATATGTTTCTCTTATTGGTTAATGAATAAAGCACTGTTGGCTGAAAGCAAGAAAGGTGGAACTAGGAGACAAGGAAAAGTCTGGGAGATGTAGTAGAGAAAAGTCAAGATGTAGGCCATGAGAGGATAAGAGGTCTGAACTCTTTCTCTGGAAAGATTATATGGAAACACTTAGATTGGTGAAAATGGGTTAATATTTCAGACATAGCTATCAAATAAGAAATGCTAGTAACAGGCCAACAGCTTTATATCTAATACAGTGTCTCTGTGTGTTATTTGGAGCTGATGCAGCAGTGGGACCAGACTGGTGAGAAACTGCTTGTAACAGAGTACAATGAGTGTGAGATGCTGATGTGGATGTATGAACTGAACTTGGGTTCTCTGCAAGAGCAGCATTCATTGTTAATCACTGTGACATCTCTCCAGTACCTGCTACTACCTATTATTCTTCAATGTGTCAATAAATATGCAAAAAGTACTGTGTCACAAATTAATTTTTAATGAGTTTTGCTGACTGTATTTCAATATAGTCTATATTCTATAAAAGTGTCCTGACTGACCTGTCTTTCTACCCACCTGTCCAGCACACATTCATTGATGGTTGACCAGAGAACATGAATTGTGCTGGACCCTCAGATGAAAATGCCAGTTCCTCTGTGGGATGGGTAAGTAGAAGGCTGTTCATTTAACACTGTGTGTGACATATGTGATATTCTAACTCTAAACATGGAGCAATGAGAGCCCTTGGGACGATTGCAGCTGGGGAAACTTCCTGAAGATGAGAGTGGGAGCCAAGTTTAAGGAAAAGTGGGATTGAGCCAGGTGAGGAGACAGTGTGACCTCTGACGTCACTGTCATGCTACACACCTTTGGAAATGGCTTCCCTTTCATCTGGAAAGGGAAGCAATTATTTACTATTGGAGACTGTAAATCAATACAGCTGTCCATTAGTGGGCATACATTCTCCAGATCTTGCAAAGAAGACAGCTGGCTAAGACTTACAGAACTACATTGGTCAGTTTCCCTAAGGAATATTAAAACCTCTCTTTGTGTGAACAGTGGAGATCAATGGCAGAAAACCTGAATGTGGCAAAAGTCCAAGCCTGGAGAACATCCAGGAAGAAGGGTCCAGGAAGTAAGACATGATGTGCTAGAAAGATTATTTTAGACTAGTTTTCACATGGTTTCTTGGGTAGTGGTACAAAAATACTCTCTATATAACAGTTTTGAGTTGAATGAGATACAGTGAAAAGTGTTTGCATCAGATATGTGTCAGAAACGTCACAGTGGGCGGTGTGAATAGGCAGGATTATTCTGCACACCTCTGCCTCGGTGGAAATGGACCAGGGCATCCTTGAATACAGCATCTGAGCAGAGGCATTTGCAGGCTCAGCTTTCAGCTTTGACAAAAACAGCAGTTCTCAACCTTTCTCAACCTGTGGATCACCACACTTTTGCAGGTCAAAGAACCTTTCACAGAGGTTCCTAGGACCATCTGCAATACAGATATTTACATTACAGTTATGAAGTAGCAATGGAAATAATTTTAGGGTTGGGGGGGTCACCACAACATGAGAACTGTGAGTGGTCACAGCATTAGGAAGAACTGATCTCCCGAAGAGGAGTCCAGTTAACTTCCCTTGTTTTCCTGATGGGGACAAATTATATTAAGTCAGCTTTATCAAAATTAAGTTGCAGCATATTTCCTCCTGTTTCATTACATAACATGAAGATGCCATCACTTCCTGCCACTCTGTGCTCACTCAGGAATGCTGAGGAACAGGGACAGCCCTATCTGAGTGGAGAGATGCTCTTTGGCTGCTAGAAGGTGATTCAGTGAACCGACTTAAGGAGTTACCGTGAGGCAGAAATAGAGTTGCACCCCAGCATGATGAACAGCACCAGACATGCCTTAAATTCTACCATGCATTTGATGTCATCTTAGAAACACTATTATCCCCTGGAGGTGGAAGGCTTTTTCCCAAGCCTATGCTAATATTAACATTCAAGAGTTGACCGTGTACCAGCACACTCCCAGTTTTCTCCCGAGAAGGTGTCAAAATTCCAGCCCTGCCACAATGCATGAGCACACCTCTACCTGGGAATGACTACATGTGTACATGGTTTAACTAAGCACAGGTTGAAGTTAACACCTTCTTTGACCTCTTTCTCAGCACAATGTACAAACAGGATCTGGACTGAGTTGGATTTTGCAGCAGCTGGCTTCCCCAGGTGGTAGGACTGGCCTAACATGTCAGGCCCTCAGTCCAAAGTGTGAATTTTGGAAGCAAGTGTTTGCCAATCTTACTACAAAGCAGGACTTGAATTGTTTTTACAAACTTCCAACCTGGAGAACTAAATTGCAGTTTGGAAACAGACTGGCTTATAACTTAACTACAAATAAAGTGCTGTTCTCTGGTCATTTCATAACCTCAAGGTTGGAAGTATTGCACAGCCCTGGAGATTAGTGGGTCCTCCTTGCCCAATCTTTTTCAGCCAGCTAGGAACAGTTTATATTGATTCGAAATTTCTCTTTTGACAACTGGTGCTTAGGAAATATGATGATTACTAATATAAAGGTAATATGATGACATAAATATGATGACATAAAACAAACAGATACTGGCATTTGCTCATATCCTGCTAAAGTAAATATTTTTAATATAATGAAATCTTTTCTACGCAACATTATATAATGCTTACTTTCAGAAGACTGTACTGGGGGGTTACAAAAACTATGAACCACCACTGTGGACAAGCTTTTATCTAATTTCTAACAGTTAAGAAGAAGTTCTCAATGCAGTGCCGTCTCTAGGATTTGACACACAGGCCCTATCAGAGTCAGTCATCTATCAGGGATCATTCTACCATACCCAGCAGATGTCAGTGTTCCACACCAACTGTACAGTTCAGCTGGTCAGTGTTGTCTACAGAAGCATGAACCAGGGCACATATGTGCTTGATGAAATTTCTAGTAACAGTGTTAAAGAGAATGCAGGAATAAGTAAAATTATCTTACATGTATTTTAAATATGTTTACTACAGCATGTCTAAGTATTTCAACATGGAACCAATATATTAATGAAACATTTTTTCCTAAAATACTAATGTTTTTCTTCCTGTACTTAGGTTGAATTCAGGTCTTGTACAATACTAGGCAACCTCTCTACTACTGATCTATATCTGAGCACCAGATACTAACGTCTTGAGAGTCAACATGCATTTACACTTATAAAACATCTCAATTCAAACTATTTGACGTTTGACAGTGCAGCTGTGGGATGTAGGCAAAGTTCAGCAGCAGGTCATGTCACTTAGCATATGCAAGGCCCTCAAAGCAACAGAATAAAACAAAACAAAACAAAACAACAACAACAACAATGACGACAACAACAAAACCCCAAAACAACAGTGCAGATTAGAGCTGGAGAGATGGAGCAGATGTTAAGAGCACTGGCTGCTCTTCCAGATGGCCCTGGTTCAATTCTTGACACCCATATGCCAGTTCACAACTGTCTATAACTCCATTTTCAGGGGATCTAACACCCTCACATAGATATACATACAGAGCAAACACCAATGCACATAAAACAGATAAATATTTAAAAATAACAGGACAGATCTACTCTCTTCAGAACGTCCCAGACATGGTGTTCCAATAGTGCCACAGCTATTCATAAATTAGGACATTTGGGCATATGGTGGTTTTATAGCTTTGGAGATTGGCACTTCCAAATGTATTTGTGTGATCCTGCTTTTGCAGGTACCACATACCTTTTGGTATCTCAGAAAGCTGCTCGTTATGTGAGAAGAAGACAGCCATTTGTGTTGGAGAATGAGAAAGATAGGCTTCCTGTTCAGTAGGTCATAAGCAGTGTTAGCTCTTTTACTTTGTTTTCAATGTTACATTTCCACATAACTCATTTATTCTACAGATGCTGCTGAGACTTCTCAGATTAATACATTGTTAAAATAGGAGAGCACTGATTTTTAAAAGTCAATTTAACAAAACAAGTGACAAAATATATGTATGTAGCTGTAATCAGCTCTACTTACTCTATGAAACTTTCAAGTATACAGAACTCCATCTGAATCTATACAGGCTCAATGTCTTCAGTTCTTGGCCCAATCTAACCTTATGTCCTCAGTAATATTTCTACCCATCAACTGGCATGCTGGCAGCCTCAAAGTAGTTACCTTAGTTAATGTTCCTTTACGATTTTATCATAGTCTCTTCTGTACCATTTCTTGACTCCTAAGGTAGGCAGCATTAGCTTCATTAAAAAAACAAAATAAAACAAACAACAAACAAACAAAACAAACAAACTAACAGCTAAAAACATAGAATATACAGAAGAAATACAAATGTCAACTTAATTTTAGAGAATTCATAAGATTCTTTTTTCTAGAGGTCCAGTGCTTTTTGATATTAGATACTGTGGATCCCAAAGACACAATGAGCTCCCTGGCAGGATTGCAAAGCAAGGTGTTTATAGAGGACTATGTCTCAAGGGTTTAGCCAGCCCTGGGAGGAGCAGCCTACCCTGGCCAGCAAGGCCTCAACATACCAATGTATCCTGGGGATAGGAATATGACCAACACCCCTTGGGCAAGTGAAAGAGCTCCACTGGTATTCTTAGTGCCTGCATGACAGCCTGTAAATATCAACCAATAAAAGGAGATAATTATAAATTTTACTTCATTGGTTTCTCTTTTCTCAGAATCTCTGATTCACTGTCCAACATCCAGTGTCTTAAAAATGTTGCTTTCCTAATTTATTTGTTTTTTTCAGTTGCTTTTGGAAAGGGAATAATGAAGTTCCTCTTAGTCAACTCAGAGGAGCTACACAAAGTTATTTCCATTAGAAATGAAAATCTACTTGGGATTTTCCCAAGTGAGATATTTGGAAGCAAGCAATTTAAACACTTTGGCTGCTACTTTTACATTCTGAAGCCTTCATTAAGAGATTACACTTTGTCTCTTGAAGCATCTAGAAACATGACACAAACTCAGATTTCATGAGGAAGACTTTGTGGTTCTGTTCACATATTATATGCCGAAATCACTTTTACTAATGCTAGCCACTGTTTAGATATTTCTTAGCGACAAGGTTTTATTATCAAAATAATAAAACACAAGGCACACAGTCACACATTTAGTGCTACAGAAAGGCAGAATTCAAGTCACACATGTGGGAGCTTGGGAGGCCCCTCCATGGCTGCCATGCATTGGTTAGGCCTTCTCCCAGCCCACACAGTATTTCCAGGTAGCCCTCCTCCCGTCTTTACAGGCTGGAGTGTCATTAAGACGGAGGATATAGAATCAAAGCTCCTGTTCCCAGTAATCAGTTTTGTAGGTCAGGGACAGAGATTCTATCCAACACAACCTTCCTATGCAAGCCACCCACCAAAGTCTCAAACACCAGCTATTTACTCTGTGGAAGCTCTGACAGAGCAACCCACCATCCTACCCTCCCCAACTTGAAATCTCTCCAAGGCTAGGTACCAGATAGGAGACCACCCAGAGACTTCAGAAATTATAACAGCCAATCCTAGATCTCCCCACCCAGTTGCCCAGCCTGTCTCAACTCATCCTTCCATGGAATCTGCAATACAGGCTATGGGGCACCTGACCCTTCTGCCTCCTGACCTAATAGGTGTGGTGTGGCATGTCCTCCACTACAGGGAGATGTAAGCAATAACCTCTCCTTCAAAGGCAACTGTTTGATGTCTATCATCTACCATATCCAACTGAAACAATTCTAACTGCATTCTGCACCAAGGAGACAGTACCAGGGAAGGTGATTGCAGTGGCTTTGGTAGAGCAGAGCTGCGGAGAGGACAGAGCTCCAGAGATCCAAAAGGGGTCATCCTTGAGGGTTACCTGACCACTGACCAGCATTGTCATATGAAAAATAGAATTGAGAGAACAAAAAACTCCAGAAGGGGTTGTAGGAACAATCATTGATCTGGATACCATGACTGCTTCTGCCAGCCTGGGGAAGAGCCTCTTGATGAACAACACAGTAACTAGAGGATGCAGGGTGGCCTTTGGAACACCAAGTCATGAGCCAGATGCTCAACTGTGGCTAGCTTAGCCATGCTACACTCAGCAATGGTCACTTTATACAGGAGAGCTGGGACATGGACAAACAGGTCTTCAGAATACGAGAGAAGCTGCCTATTCTCAGCATTAAGAGAGCATATGTAGAATGGAGAAGATTGCACCATAAAGCAAAAGGACTGACACCTGGATACATTTGAAAATTTCTAGAAATCAACAAGAAAGAGGCAGACGAACATACATCGAAATGGGTACACACTTGAAGAAAAAGCTCACAAATTGTGAAAATAATGTTTTCATTGAGAATAAACTCCAAGCTACTCTTTTATTTATTTTTTTCTTGCCATTTTCGATCTAAGTATACTTTTTTCTTTTCTTTTAAATGAGACCTCCCATTTCATCTCTAGTAACTGCTCTGAGGAAGCCATCCTTGTCATCCCTCAGCAATGGCCCCAATATAACACAGTGGTCGGAGGTGTAAATTCCTAAGTGGAAAACACACTGCTCTTGGCAATGACTGTCAACAGCATGCTTGGAAACTCAGCAAATTTCTGAGTTCCAGCACTGTTGAGAAGGAAATGTCTAGTACAAGGAGAATGGAAATGAAAACATTTCTTTACTTAGGCTTCATTAAAGCGTAAATAGAGGTGCACAATGGTTCACAAGGACTCGATGCTCCATTTCCTTTGCTACCACCACCTTCTGAAACATTCGAACTTCACGTATCACCATAGATGTCCGGGAGAGAGGCTGAAGTGTCCAGGGCAGCAGAGAGAGGGCTGATGGCCAAGGAGCAATAGGGCACTGACATCATAGCATAGTATCACTGGGTTTTCTAATTGCTCACAGTCTTCAACACAGGCTACCTTAAGTATAACCTGTAGCCTGTCCTGGATGCCATCCACATGGCCAGTCACAGTCACCTCTGTTCTGGAACTGACCTAGGTGTGATTTTCTCTAAGTACCACTCAAGTCGTGTATCTGTTTTTCGAACAGCAGACACTGCCACACACTAAAATTAACCACAGCTGTCTCTCCTGCTCCACTGTTAACTTACAGGCAGGGGCTGTGCTTTATCCTTTAGTCTATCATGTGTTTTGCTTACGACAGGTGTATAAAAAGAAGGATTAAGTGACGAGTGGGAAGGGGCTGAGGGAGATGGTACTGCTGGAGGGGTGGTCCAGGATCTGACATCACTATGGAGGCCAAATTTGGAGGCTGAAGCACACTGACAGCTAAGCAGGTAGGCAAGAGGGATGAGTCAGCACAGGTAACAGGGGGTGTTGACATTTGCCATATACTTGTAACTCCCCGGGATGATGTAAGGGAAGTGAAAGCCATAATAAATAAAACAATGCAAGGTCCTAAAGAGATTTAGGAAGAACATTTTGAAGCAGAATATGGGGATGGAAATAGGCTGTGCAGCTCTTTGGAGGTATGTGCTCCTACTGCGTTTACAATACAATGTCCTGGAGTTTTTGGGTTTGCAATCATTCTGGAGGATAAAGCTTGTTGATACTGAATCAAAGGAGTTACTGAATATGGACACAGCTTAATTACAATTAGTGAACTTTGAGGGTAGAACGTTTACTGTATGCAGGCATATTTACTGTTCTGCACAATGTGATCATTCCAGCCCAGCATGGTGGTACAGAGCTGCCATTCCAGCATTTAGGAGGCTGAGATAAAAGATAGTGAGTTTGGGGCTAACATAGACTACTTGACAGTCCTTGTTTCCTAAAACAAAAACACACAAAGCCTTTGCCAAGCATTGCCATCACCAGCAACATGAGGGTTCTTCATGGTTTCTTGCAACTGTGTTACTACTCTAGCTACTTTGACCATCTTTAAAAGGCAAATAGATCCAATATGTTCAAAACCACTCATCCTAACAGGGGATAATTCTCTAGTGTTTCTCACAGGGCAGAAAAGAATTCATATGTTCTACTCCTCCTTAGGAGAAGGGTGACTGGGGTGCTATTGGGATTAATATAAAGAAAAGAGTAAAAACTTTCATTTTAAACTTTCTTAAAAATATAAATTATCACAATAATGGGGACAGAGGGGCTCTGCTACAGACAGGTGCATCAAAGTTGGTTTTCAAGAGGTTTGGACTGATCAAACAGGTGACCCTAGTTGAGGCTATTACACTAGGATGGATCAGCTGTGGTTGAGAGGATTGGTGTTAACTGGCTTAGTGATGCTTCATGAAGGTGTTACCTCCATGGAAGACCAGTCCCAGGATCAGCTCAGGGTAGGGATGTGGCAGGTGAGATGTAATCATCCTAAGACTGTCTTCATTTCCCTTTAATTTTCCTGGAACTAAAAGTCAAAAGCAATGACTCTCAACTTCCTTGCATGGAGGGATGCAGCTTCTAGTCAACAGAAAGAAGATTGTGGGAGACACTTTTCTTTCTAGACAGCAGTCAGTCTTTTGTTTTTTTCCCATTGTTCTCCTTCTTTCTGTCAGTGCTTGAGAGGAGGTTGTAGGAGCTGACACATGGTCATGGGATATATATGAACATGAGAAAAGCCTGTCCAGGTCAGGAGAATGAGCATGCTGGAAGACCCCACATCTGATGGGAGATGTCATTCTGTGAATATGTTTCTCATACTGGTTAATGAATAAAGCCCTGTTGGCCAATAGGGAAGCAAGATAGGCGGGACTAGGAGACAAGGAGGAAAGAGGAAGTAGGAGTCAAGATGGAGAGTCTGGAGAAAGCAGGACGTGGAAGTACTTAGATTAACAGAAATGGGTTAATAAGAAACTAGTACCTGGCCAACAGAATTATATCAAATACAGAGTCTCTGAGCGTTATTTGGGGCTGGCGCGGCAGCTGGACAGGACCATCCCTGACAGAGGTGGAGAAGGGTGAGGTTATTTCTACCTGGCATGTTTGCAGCTCTTACTTGGTGAGTGAATAAAACTGATTCCTATCTTCAGTGGCCACTGGGATTGAACTTTCTGTCAACTACAGTTTATCTCATTCCAATATATAAAAAATGGAAGCTGGGACTACTGAATTTTCTGGGTATTTTTGGTCAGAGCAAAGGGGATGTGGGCCTTAACTCTAGCAGGGGAGAAGGGAGGCTCTAGTCTTCATTTATATGCATTGGAGGTTTCCCTGAAAGGAGGTACAATCATGGACTAGAAAGAGCCTTTCCAGGGAAGGCTCCTCCCTGCAATGTTTTGATAATTCCTGAGACTGGC